TTCAGATGGCATCGAGCGGCTCTATCATACTCATATCCCATCTCTACTGCGTCATAAGACCAGAGGAACCTCACACAGTCCGGGTCCTTCTGACATTCAGCCTGGCACAGAGCGGGAGTTGGAATCTCCTCAAGAACCTTATACCCCGACAAAGTGTCGGGCTCATTGTACCCGTAAACCCAATTGTCAAAGCAGACACCTGTAGGGGTGACCTTGTCGTCCAGATCCACTGTGAAGTGTTCAGACATACATTTCTCCTGCAGTGAAGAAGCACTTAGTATATCCATTCCTGAAGCTTCCACAACTTCACAATCTGCCTGGCATTCCTCATTAGTGTAAGCACTCGTTCTTGACACGTACTTGTTACAAATCGAAGGGTGGTTGTACTCGTATATACAATGCTCTGACACTCGATGTTGCTTGATATCCTCAGACGCACAGCAGTCAGCAATTCTATCGTAGCATTGGAAATAGTGATCATTCCGTACGCATAACGAGCTTTGTGTATCTTTGTCCACCCTTAAGTCAGCGTCACCACATGGTGTGCATCCTATCTGATCTCCTAGAAATGGAGCCAAACATTCTTTCCCGTATGACACACCGACCAATACAATAAAGTTCACGGATCTCATTTTAATGGTTTCTTCAAGTTCATGACAAGATCAATTTCAAACACGGTGTAGACAGCCCGTTGCATAGTCCGTTATGTCCCAGGGGATGATCTGGATTCGGGTTGAGTGGGCTGCCGACCCTCAACCCATAAAAAGCTAACGGCAGGGTTGGCGACCCACACAAAGGCGGCAGGGCCGGTCGGACCCCAATTTCATCTCAAACACCCCCTCGACCGGTCCTGACGGCCAGCCGTCGGTGGCGCTTTGCGGCTGGCCGATCTCACTTCCCGCCCTGACTACGTGTCCGCCCACCGCGAGCTTTCTTCGACCCGACTCGCTTCGTTGCCTCCCACGGCATACTGCTGCTCGCTGCCCTACTCCGTGAGGCTAGCTTCTCAGTGCTGCTCCGTAACCTCAGACAGCCCAACAGATTACCTGCCGATACCGCCAACTGAGTTGGATTCGGGCCTGCGAGCCGAATGAACTACGCGTTTGTAAAAAGTCCTCAAAAAGCTAGCGGCAGGGCCGGTCGGGCCCCATTTCATCCCGGAGGAAGCATTTCGGGCCAGCTGACCCGGAAGCTGAGTGGGGTGTCAAACGGGTACGAACGCCGGGCCCTGGTCGCAAACCCAGGGGCACCTTGAGCTGGCTATGTGTGGGCGGAATTGGGCACCGAAGTCGCAGGGGCCCCCTACCAAAGGAAAACGGTGTGGAAGATCGTGACTATTCTCACGCTAGCGTGCCGTAGTCCGGGATTCCGCTCACTCTTCCGACGCGTCCTACTGACGGGTTCTTGGGATGCACCCTGTTGACGGAGAAGGTGTCGTTCCTGTCAGGGGTGCTGTCTATCTGTACTCACTAACTAACTAACTATTGCCATTAAAAGGTTTTTTGCCCGCAAGGCCGCGTCCGCGGGGACGCTCGGATGACAGGAGGGGTGCCGTACCCGGTGGGTTGCGCCGGCAGTCCTCCGGTTGCCAGGTCATCGTTCATATCGGGAACTGTTGAAGGAGGATCCACACTCGTAGAGGACGGGCCGACCAATTCCCCCCCGACCGACGCCGGGGTACGCTGGGAACGCGGCGTGCCCTCGTGACTCGGCAATCCTTCTGCAGGAATGTAGGCATATCGAGCACCAAACGCCGATCTCACACACTCCTGAGGAACCACGCACTCTTGTGGAACCACACACTCTTGTGGAACCACACACTCTTGTGGAACCACACACTCCGCAGGAGTCACCTCCGGCACCGCGTGGTCCATCGCACCACTACTGTCATTCATCACCGGCAACACCTCTTTCGGCACGTCCTGAGCCGCTTCTTGGGTCGCCAGCAAAATAGTCGACAACGCGGCACCACCCACCAGTCCAGCAGTCGCGCTCGCTACGTCGTCTGCACTCGGGGCTGTTTCCTTGGCTTGTGGCACTTTCTCTTCCACAACTCTCGCTTCCACTTCTGTCTCACGTGGGTCTTGTCTCTCGTGTGGTTCATGGACTTCCCCCTCTGGGGCGTGAACGGACACTTCTGCTTCGTCCAGCATGCGCACTTCCCCTTCGTCAAGCACGGACGCCTCTGGTGGAACCAGCACGGGGCACCCCATCCTATTGCTCTCCCCGTTCATGTTTACCGACCCGGCAGGTACCTCAGCTGCACCCGGAACTCCTGAGTGGTTCTCCCGTAGCATTAGCACTACAGGCTCGGGATTGATGATGGCCACAGAATCGACCGCAGGCTCAGAGTCGACCGCAGGCTCAGAGTCGACCGTAGGCTCAGAGTCGACCGCAGGCTCAGGGTCGGCCACAGGCTCAGGATCGACCGCAGGTTCAGGATCGGCCACAGGCTCAGGATCGACCACAGGCTCAGGATCGACCGCAGGTTCAAGGTCGGCCACAGGCTCAGGATCGACCTCAGGTTCAGGGTCGGCCACAGGCTCAGGATCGACCGCAGGTTCAGGGTCGGCCACAGGCTCAGGATCGACCGCAGGTTCAGGGTCGGCCACAGGCTCAG